ATCTCCAGCAGTATCATGTGGCTCATGATGATTCACTTCTAACTGGTTCTTGGAAACTCAAACATGGGATGTGGTGATGGATTAGCCGGCCCTCAAATTACGCCTTTGTTGAGAGTTTAAAGGTGGTTGTTGCTCCCGGTTTCTGCCATCATTAGTTTTAGATATAGTTCCTTGCTCAACGGCTGCTGAACTGTTAATAGGCTGAGAAATTCGAGCTTCTAACTTATTGAATTGAACATTCAACCAGTTAAGCTGCTCCACAATTCTACATAGCAACTCAACCCGCTGATTACCATCCAATCTTTCATTTCCCAATCATGTAAATGTAATGTCTACTTAGCTATGATAAAAAACTGATTTAGGACTTTAGTAGCAGCCTTAAATAGCTCAACTTACAGAATTCAGTTGCCGAAAGTTCAGACCACCAGGCCGAAATTTGGAGGTTTGATGGTAGAAATGTAGAAAAATCAAAGAGAGAAGAAATAGAATAAGGCAGCCTATTGGAATCACAAACAGGTTTAAGCATCACACCTAGAGAAGGTCTCACACATCATATTTTGTGAATCGCTCACAGAGCAATTTCATAAAATATATTTATTCATTCATTCATTGATTAACCAAGTTTACACTCCATCCTTTTATTGGATTCTGCTTGTACCTCTTAGACTTACATGGAGTTTAACTCATTACTCATGACTTTTAAACATACCTCATAATTGGGATAATTTTTTTTTTTTTTTTAATAAGTAGGATTGTATTAGAAAGCGATCAAAAGGGGAACACATCCCGCAGAAGCTGCACAAGGCCAAATAGGGCCCTTGCACTCTCAAAGAGTCCAAAATTCAACCACATACCCCATGGATTTACAATTTCTTCCACTAACTCAACAAAAAAGAGAAATAAGAATTGAGAACTCCAGTGCTCCAATAGGAGACTCCTTCCCATCAAAGGATCTTCTCTTCCGTTCTAACCATAAACAGCACCAAAAACATAGAGGCGGTACCCTCCGACAATCACGGGCTTGGGCACCCACTGTAACCTCTTGAGGACCGAAGCATTACCCACTGGATTGAACAATAAACTCCAACAATCCCTGGCCACTGAGCAATGCAGCAGAAGACGATCAACTATCTCTGCATCTCTCTTGCACAAACAGCACCAATTGACAACCACCTGTCCTCTCCTTCTCAGGTTATCCGGAGTCTCAGATATTCCCACAACTGCCATCCACACAAAGAAAGCCACCTTGAGGGGGGCTTTAGAGCGCAAACAACCTTCCATAGGAGAGTAGGCCGTAGAGCATTTTATTTATTTATTTATTTTTTTGTTAAGTAATAATTGATAAAAGGCGTTCAAAAGGGGAACCTGTAGAGAGAATGAACACCAAAGTGCCCCTGAGGAAAGGGCGCCCACACCAGGGCATCGCCCACATCTTCTAGGCGATACAACTCTTCCAATTGCTAACTTATGACTTAATAACATAAAAGCAAATAAAAATCTTCTTAATTGCATCATAATGCCCACCAAACTCATAAATGATGCAACTTGACCAGAACACCGAATTATTCAAGACTCTAAGTGGACCCACATCATCTAACCTATGAATTAAGGCTCGAGTCTTAGAATCCTCCTTTTTGCACTTTTTTTTTTTTTTCCTGAATGGTGGGAAAGTTTTATTAATACAAAATGAAACATTAAAGTACATTAGGAGAGTGATCACTGGAAAGAGATCCCTAGAAAAGATGAAAACGTCTTGCAACAAGTCTAAGGCGTACACTCAACTTGAAGATTAGACAAAGAAAGCAAGATTTTGCAATTAAAAAATAGCTTGCAAATCTGGAATTGAGATGCCCAAGCAAGTAAGTCCCTCCAGACAAGCTGTCCTGGCCTCCACCTCTGCTGTGGAAGGACTTCCACCATGAAGAATGTTGTTCCTATGGTTCCAAAGACTCCACACTATAGAATTATAAAAAGACCTCATCACCTTGTTTCTCATATTGTGAGATTCAGTCCTGTGGATGAACTAGTCAGTGGCTACCTCAAAAGATAGTGAAGCAAGCAAGCTGCCCAATGGCACAGATCACAGAACCATAACCACACTTTCTTTGCAAAGGAGCAAGACCAGAAGAGGTACTCATTGGAGTCAGCACCAGCAAAACAATGTGGCAAATGGATGTAAGATTAAGTCCCTGTCTCTGAAGGTTGGCAAAGGACTTATTTGCATGCTGCAATACCAGCACCGCAAAGATAGAGGCCCTGGGCCTGCTGCCATCCCAAACATGGGACTTAAGTGCCTTGATGTCTACATAAGTTCCATGCAATTTTAAAACAGAACTGTCTTCCTTTCCAATCTATTTCATCATCCTCAGGGGAATACCTCCTCCTATTTAAGTAATTAGAAATTTCAATGGGCCATGTAGATGGAGTGACCCAACCAGAAACATGGCCTAACTCACACTTTAGCATCAGTATTGAAACCAGCAGCAATCCTTCTCAAACCAAACTTCTGCTGAAGAGTGAGCCCCTCAAACCATGGATCAAAAAATAGACTGAAGATATCACCATTATTAATTTTGAAATCCATATGTGGGATCATCTTTCAACAGAAAGAATGTCCCTCCGTACTCCAGAATCTGAGGCTTTGCCAAGCATAGTCCAGAAGTGTACTCCATTAACATATTTATCCCTAAACCATTTGACCCATAGAGCTGCTTTCAAGTGCAAGAAGTCCCACAGCAAGGCACACTTACTGGCTAGGTTGATACTCTGAAGGCACCTGATCCCTAGACCACCCTCCCTCTTTGGCATAGTGACGTTCTCCCAACTGAAGAGTGAGTGTGTACTCTGCCCTGCATTGCCAGACCATAAGAACTGTCTAATCTTCTTTTCAATGCTGATCTGAATATCAACAGGGATGTAGAAGACGGTACACCAGAAGTAATAATAAGTAAGCATTGACTTGATCAATTCCACCCTCTTTGGTAGTGAGAGATTGAAACAGTTCCAAGCACTCAGTTTGGAGTTAATCTTATCCACCAATCCTTCACAATGAACACTAGTAAACCTTCTATCAACCAGAGGCTCCCCAAGATAAAGAGGCAGGAAGAGAACCCACATTAAAATTAAGTATAGCCCTGATACCTCTTTTCCTCCTCACAAACCTTGAGAAGAACAGCTCACTCCTGACTATTGACACTCAATCCTGATACCACAGAAAATTGCTGCAACAAAGCATTTGGTCACCTAGCATTTGGGATACTAGCTTTCAGGATCATGAAGAGTTCATCAGCAAAAAACATGTGTGAAATCTGACAGTGCACCTTCTGAACAGCGTGGCATAGCTCCAACTGACCTAGCACAGCCCTCTGTACCATTTGAGAAAAATAAGTCAGTAACCGATTTATTCTTGGGTTCCCTGCGTTTGTCGTAACAGATTCCAATAAACCACCACCATCTCCAACCATGAATCAACCCCCAGTCATGAATCGGGAAGTGGGTGTTGCAACAACTTCTCCTAGTATATCTGTTGCGACTGAGACCATTGTAAACAATATTTCTTCTGTTGAAGATAAGGTAGTTACCAATGCTACAAATGTTAATTCATTCCAAAATAATTTTGAGTCTGTAGTCAAACTTGAGGAACCAAACCTTAAAGTTTGTACACATCATATGGATAGCATGGACAACAAAGAGAAATTCATTAATGGATCACTGGAATTTCTTTTTAAATCTATCTAGAGTCCTATAGTGGCATGTTCTTGAATTGCACTTGGTGCTCGGCAAAGGCCCAGTTAATGCACTTACTGTTGAAGAATTCAGCATTCTCGATTGTCTGTTCAAGGAAAAACTCGTTGATGAATCTTGCATGGTCTTATTATTCATGAGAACGGGTATTGTCAAAAGTTGCAAAGGCTTGATGTCTCAAATAAGTTCTTTTCTTTTGAGTTGCCAAGGAAGATTGGAAATCTGTCACATTTGGTGCTCTTTTGGGATTGAACAAATAAGAAGCAAGTTTTAGAAACACCAAGGTCAAGTCGTCAATGGTATAAAATTTTGTTCACACTCATATATGACCCAAGAATTAAACTCGAGGACAAGTTCTTTTAAAGCAGGTTCTATATCATAGATCGTATTGTTTAACGTTATGAAATATTTGACATAATTCATAGATTTATGGTTCACTCCTTACATTAACTGCAGTTAGTGCTTGATTCTGAATATATATAATAATTATGTTTAAATATGCTTATTGTTATACACACGCCTTAATTCGATCGGGCTCTCACCTTATTCTTAGGCTCCAGAAGGCCTTTGGCGCCTTAGTGGGCCTTGAGCCTTTAACAACAATGGACTATTGATTTGAGTGTTTCCTTCTCAATTCTAGCTTGAGCTTTCGCTTGTTGGATTGAGAAGGTATGCAATTGGTTGGACCTCCCTCAAGTTATTATTGAATCCAAAAATCACATCTGTAATTTGTCTATAGTTTTTTTTTGAATGTCAACTGCGTAATATAAGTTGTATTAGAATGAACTTACTTCCTTTCACTAAGAAAATAAGAACTAAGTGTGGATCAAAGCATTCTGATCTTCATGGTATAAGTTATAATGCTTGTACGATGTACATTCAATAGATCAGGTTGCAAATTCTGCAACTTCCTAAACCCAAGCCTCATATGAAAAATGAAGTCTTTCCAATCCTCCACTTTTCTCGTTTCTACTGACTAGTAAGTAAAAGGCATGGAATTATCACCCAAAAAAGAAGAATATTTGAAGCAACCACCATTTGCTTTTTATTTTTTATTATTTTTTATTTATATATATATATATATATATAGATATATATATGTGTGTACTTGTAAAACTTGAAGAGAGATTATTATTATTTTTAACTTGTACTTTCCTATTATACATATTGGATGGCTGATATCGTGCTCTTAATGCTTGATAGTAATTCCAATTGCTGTATCACATTGAACTTCTGTCCTTATTTTTATGATTCAGGTCCCACAATTTCTTTTGGATTATATGTGGGGTAAGGATGAGGCATGTAAAATAGTCTGCACTCAACCACGACGAATCTCAGCGACATCAGGTGCCTGTTACCAATCTATGCCTACAAATCTCTTTGTACTCTTGCCAACTTATTTTCTATTCCCATTGTCCATTCACTTTTAGCTGCACAAGAAATTTATACTCTTGTTGTTTTCCTATGTAGTTGCTGAGAGAATCTCTTATGAAAGAGGCGAAACTGTTGGAGATAGTGTTGGATACAAGGTAACGTTTATACTCTGTCTTGATCATTATGACTGCTGTTTTTATTCATTACAACCAAAATTGTAAGCAATATTAGTAACTTAGAGGGTTTATGGTAAAAATTTCAGGGTCCATCTTGTACAGCTGATTGAAGTGAATATAGGAAATGAATTTATGGATTGAAAATACTGCTAGTCATAATTTTGTAACATATAGATTTTCTACAAAATTTTAAGACACTTTTGTAAGAATTTTGAGACTTTCTGTCCTCTGCATTCTGGTTCAGCAATCCATAATTTTTCTGCTTGCTTAGAAAAATAAATTCACTGTTTTATATCTTTGCATAATGATCCCTAAATAGTAGGTAAAATCTTCATGGTGCCTATATGTAGAACCATTTTAGAAAGTGTCAGCAGTTTGTTGTCAGGCATGTGCTTTCAAGAAGAAAAGAGGAAGAGAAAGGGGAGAAGAAAAAACAAGAGAGTAGAGAGGCTGCATAAAATGCTTCGAGATCCAAACTGATAAAGAAAAAACTATAGAACTCGACAATTCATAGAAAATAACAAATATGGAGAAGAACTCTACAATTTATGGTGATCTTATATAAAACTTTTATTGTAAAACATCAGCATTTGACTTCTTGTTGGGCATGTGTTTTCAATAAAAGAGAGGAGGGGACTTTTACCATCATAAGGTAAAAAAAACCTTATTATTCTCTAATGTCGCTTTCTAACCCCCCGGTCTTTCCTTCTCTCCAAGGTACTGAAGTCTTCTACTCCGGCGACCTTTGTTCTTTCTCTTTCTTTCTGGCTTTTCTCTTTTTTCTTCTGGGTTGTTATGAGAGCTTTTGAGGGCGAGAACTGCTCCTTTCTTGTGGTGGCGAGACTCCTAAGTCTCGCTGTCATTGGTGAGGTTGAAAGCTCGGTGACCAACCAAGGGCATGTTTTCGGGGTAGATAATCACAACACAACAATCAGGCAGGCCGCTTTGAAATATTGTTTGGTTGGGAGATTTGATAGAGATGTGGGTAGTCTACAAAGAATTGAGGAATGTGCATCGAAGATTTGGAAGATTTTGAGTGGGGTGAGGGTTTACACCTTGCCCGTTGGTTTGTTGCTGTTCGGGTTCCCTTTGGAAATGGAAGTGCAGAGGGCGCTGAAGGTCAGATAGAAGAGATGGGGTGGGGCTAATCTGCTGTTTGGGTCTGTTGAAAAAGAGGAAGCAAAGGAGAATTCATTTTATGGATTACCCTTACACTTGTGGTGTGAGAAGTTGTTTGAAACCATTGATGAAATATGTGGAGTCTATCGGGATGTCGAGGCCTATAATATGAGCGTCACTGAAAAAGTCATCCTCAGTATCGCCAATGGAGGGGTTATCCCCAAGCACGTCATCCTTGAAGACAACTAGGTGGCCTTTAAGACCGCATTGATGGAAGAGACCCCTCCTTCTATTGTGCCGAAACTGGAGTGATCCCGAAGCACGTCATCCTTGAGCTGATCGGGTATGTAGGGAGGTGTGGGTGAGAAATAATGTTGAGTTTATGTGCAATCTCATTGGAGTGACTTTTATGAGGGTGAGAGTTGTGAGGCTGTGGGTATGTTTCATTAAATTCAGGAGAGTCAAAAGGTGGGAGGAAAGGGTAGGACAACTTCCGAAAGGGGGAGAGGGAGGTTCAACATCTTATTTCGTATGTCAATTATTTCATGGAATATCCACGGTCTTGATGATTCAGATAAGAGGAAGGTGGTGAAGTTGGCGATTCATAAGTGGGACGTTAATGTGGTGTGTTTGCAAGAAACGAAACTTACCTCAGTTTTGGATATGATGGTTAGGAGTCTTTGGGGTTGGAGATTTGTGGATTGGGTGGCTTTGGATCCTTTGGGTGCTTTTGGGGGATTCTTGTGATGTGGGACAAAAGATGGGTTTCCAAACTGGGTGTGTGGATTGGAAGATTCTTTGTGTTTTTTTGTTTAATATGGAGGAGGATGGTTTTTATTGGGTGTTCTTTGGGGTCTATGACTAGATTGAAGATGACGTGCGACACTTGTAGTGAGTGGAGCTTGGTTCTGTTCGGAGGAGATGGCCGTATCCTTGGTGTATTGGAGGGGACTTTAACGTCATTCGTTCCCCCGTGGAGAGGTTGACAGGGGTTTTTGATGCGAGTGGCACTCTGAGTTTTACCTTTGCGGGCAAACTGCGGTTTTTCAAGGAAGAAATTAAAAGATGGAATGAGGACGAGTTCGGGAATCTAGAATAGAGGAAGAATCGTGCTTTTTCCAAGATTGCAGAAATTGATAGGAAGAAGGGGTTGGGTGACCTTGCGGAGGCTTTAAGGCATGGGAGGTTGGAGTGCGAGGCAAAGATTGGTACTTTAGAGGAAGTTTCATGGCTGAATTCTAGAACCTTATGGCTTAAGGACAGGGATAGAAGTACAAAGTTCATTCATAGGCTTGCAAATGCTAATTGAAGGGGCCACCATATTGGGAGGATGCGGGTGAAAGGGGTGGTGTTGTGCAAGGATGAGGAGGTTTGTAGGGGGATTGCATCTTTTCACAGAAACATTTAGTTGGAGAGCAGAGCTTGGGGGCTTCAGTTCTATTCGATTTCAGGGGTGGGGGGCATCTGATGTCAAGGACTTCAGACCTATTAGTCTGGTGGGATGTATCTATAAATTAATAGCTAAGGTTATTGCTTTGAGATTGAGGGAGGTTTTGGACGGGGTCATCCCAGATTCCCATAGTGTTTTAGTTGGAGGCCGTCTAATTTTAAATTCTATCCTTGCTGCTGGAGATTGTTTGGATTCTAGATTATGTAGTGGGATCCCTTGTGTTTTGTGCAAGGTGGACATTGAGAAGGTAAGATCATGTAAGTTGGAGCTTCCTTCTTTATTTATTGGAGATAATGTGGTTTGGTATGAAATGGAGGAGATGGATCAAGTTTTGCATTTCCAGTGTTTGCTTCTCGGTTCTTGGGAGTAGCTCTCCGATAGGCTTCTTCAGTAGTTTGAGGGGACTAAGGTAGGGGGGTCCGCTCTCTCTTTTTGTTCCTCGTGGTGATGGAGGCTCTCAGCACATTGATAGGAGGGTTGTAGATTTGGGGTTTTGAGTGTGGTGTTCGGGTGGGTAGAGATGCTTCTAGTTAATTGGAGATTTCCCATTTGATGCGTCAATGATACGTCTTTTTTTTTTTTTTTCCGTGACGCTGATGAGTCTCAGATAAGGTATTTGAGATGTGTTCTAATTTGGTTTCAAGTTTTATCTGACTTGAAGGTGAAAGTGGGAAAGAGTGTTATGGTTTCCTTCTGGGAGGTTATGGAGATTTCCACTTTAGTTGACATTCTTGGTTGCAGTATTGGCTCTTTTCCTTTATCGTATTTGTGGTTGCCTCTTGGGGTGCCATCTAGGAGAGTGGGATGTTGGGATCCCGTGGTGTGAGAAGAGGTTGGCAAGGTGGAAGAAGCATCATCTTTCAAAAGGTGGGAGGGTCACTTTGATAAAGAGTCCTCCATCGAGCCTTCCAACTTATTTCCTCAATATTTTAGAGCTCAATCACATAATAGCACTATACAGTTTTCTTTCTTGAATCCTACCGGATGAAAAAAAAAAAAAAAAAAGCCCTTCCAATCTATCACATATAGTGTAGTCGTCTCTCACAGGACCCTAGGACTCCATTTTATAGTGCTGGAGTACTTAGATTATTTTTTTGTTTTGTTTTTTCTAAACCTTTGGGAAGATACTCACACACCCACTTTGAAGGTTTAGAAACCAATTTGAATTAGGAAACTTGTATGTACCGATTCTCGGTGTCTGATTAATTCATACTGAGTTTAATCGATCGAAACAACTCCAACTGCCACTGGTCCATTTTCTGATCAATTGTAGCATTTTAGAGTGAATTTGATCGATTGGAGTCAAGTTCAATAAGTCGTTGCATTTTGCCAAACTTGGTTGCATATGGTCTGCTTATGCTTCATTGAGCGGTCAAACGAATTTGAATAGGTGTATTGTATATTGTTGGAAAGCTTATTGAGTCTAGCATTTAGAAATATAAAGCTCATCATGAGATTCCAGGTATATTATTTTTATTGTTTTTTTGAAGGCACAAAGACACCAAAATAAAGGGTTGTACACGAGGATCCCGCCATTGCAGGGTCTGGGAGGGTGAGATGTACATAGACTTGCCTCTTATGGAGAGGCTGTTTCCGGTTTTTAACTCATGACCTCCAGGTCACAATGGACCAACTTTATCATTGCACTCTCATTTTGTTTTCAACTTAAACTCAAAATCCTTAACCATATTAAGGTTTCAAAATTCAGTCATAGATTGGGGTTATTATGGCTTTTGGCTTTTCTTTTGTGGTTGGGATGCACTCCCTTTTTGAGTGCTCTTCAATGAAATCTTACTTACAATGGAGGAAATGGATTGAGACCTGTCTTTCGTCTGTCAAGTTTTCAGTTCTTGTGAATGGCTCTCCCGCCGGTTTCTTTGGTTGTTCTAGAGGTATAAGACAAGGTGATCCTTTGTCATCTTTCCTTTTTCTTCTTGTTATGGAGGGGTTAAGTAGACTGATGCATAGGGCAGAGGACCTTGGTTTTGTTAAGGGTTTCAGAGTGGGTAGAGATTTAGACCATCAGATGGAGATTTCCCATTTACTCTTTGCAGATGACACCCTGGTTTTCTGTGATGCTGATGTGTCTCAACTTCGACACTTGAGGTGTGTTCTGACTTGTTTTCAGGCAGTTTCCGGGCTTAAGGTCAATGTGACAGTGTGCGCTTGTCCCAGTAGGGAATGTTCCGGATATTTCCTCTTTAGCTGCAGTCCTTGGATGCAGAGTGAGCTCATTCCCTATTCCTTATTTGGGTTTGCCCCTAGGGGTCTCTTCTAGTTTAGTGGGGAGTTGGGATTCTGTGATTGACAGGTACGCGAAGAGATTAGCAGGTTGGAAGAAGCAATACTTGTCAAAAGGGGGTAAAGTTACTCATATAAAGAGCACCTTGTCGAGCCTTCCCACTTATTTTCTCTCTATGTTCCAAATCCCTTGTTCCATTGCAGACAGGATTGAAAAAATTCAAAGGGATTTCCTTTGGGGTGGTAAGGGCGATGAGTTCAAGTACCACCTTCTCAAATGGGAGGATGTTTGTAAGCCTATGAAATTGGGTGGACTTGGTATAAGACGTTTAGTTCCTTTCAATCAAGCTCTCTTGGGTAAGTGGTTATGGAGATTTGGGAGGGAAAGACATCGACCATGGCGTAGGCTAGTCTCTTGTCGGTTTGGCGAAGAGGCTGGAGGTTGGTCTACGCGTCCGGTTACCCTAGCGGGAGGAGTAGGGATGTGGAAGGCTATTCGGAAAGGATGGGATGTTTTTTCGGCTCATATCAGATTCAAACTCCATGACGGACGTTGCATTCGGTTTTGGGAAGATCTCTGGTGTGGGGATCAGTCACTTTCTCATACTTTTCCAAGATTATATAGTATTGCCGTTAATAAACATGCCTACATAGTTGACTGCTATCGGCTTGATAGCAGCGGGATTATATGGGATGTGCATTTTTGGCGCTCTTTTCAAGATTGGGAGATGGACGAGGTATGTGTTTTTTTGGATCTTCTGTATCGACAGGAGGGCGTTGGCAGAGGTAATGATGTTTTAAGTTGGGTTCCCTCTTCTCATGGTCGTTTCGAAGTTAGATCTTTGTTCTTATGTTTGTCAAATTTTGTTAATCGAGACTTCCCGTGGAAAACTATTTGGCGGTCTATGGCTCCAACTGGGGTGGCTTTCTTTGTTTGGACTGCTGTGTGGGGAAGGATTCTGACAATTGATAACTTGAGAAAAAGGGGCAATTGTATAGTTAATCGCTGTTGTCTATGCAAGGATGGCGAGGAGTCCGTTAACCACCTCCTTTTGCATTGCCCTGTGGCGATTGACTGTTGGAATCTTATTGCTAGGTTGTTTGGCATGTGTTGGGTTATGCCACGATCTACTAAGGAATTGATTCATATTTGGAGAGGTTGTCGAGTGAGAAGAGACGTTCGCGAGTTCTGGAGAATTGTACCACATTGCGTATGGTGGTGCATTTGGAAGGAGAGAAACAGCAGAATGTTTGAAGGAAAAGAGTCGCCTACGGAAACGGTCAAACTTTACATTCTTCGTTCTCTCTTCAATTATGTGAAGAGGAGCTTTTGTTCTTCTTCATATGATTTAATTACTTTTTTGGATTCTTTGGGGCCTTAGCTCCGGTTCCACTTTTGTAATTGGGACGCGTTCTCCTTTTGAACTCCTTTTTTTAATATTATTTTTACTTATCAAAAAAAAAAAATCTTACTTACAAAATATAAAAATAAAAATTTAATGTTAAACTTCTTGGTTAATGTTAAACTTATTTCAAAATAATTCCTAATTAGTTCAAGGTCTTAATTTATTATAAACCGATTTTAACCCCTCTTCCCTCTTTTTTAATATGTTTTTATTTATTTTTTATTTTTTATTTTTCTGTTTTGTTTTTTGTATATATTTTCATTGAAAAGACTCGAGGGGAGTGCATCCCAAATACCACTGCATAAGTCAAAAAAGACCATGTCATATGACTATCCACAAAAGACGATAGAATTTCCATAGATTTATAACTTCTCCCATGAACCCAAAAAAATAATGAACTTTGTATAGAATATTTCAGAACCCGCATAGGAATCTCCTGCCCATCAAGTAACCTCCTATTCCTCTATCCGTAGAGCCCACCACAAATAAAGGGGGAGACACCATCCACACATCTCTAGAACATGATCAAATGGGAAATTCTCAGACTGACTAAATTACTAATGATTCCAAATCTTAGTCTCTTTTAAGTCACTTGCCTTCTCTAAATTGTGTAAATGATTGAGCATGAAGCAAGAAGTTGAAGTGTTTTTTTGGCACTTTTTCCAATCTTACAATCACAGCTTCAATATTGATGATAAACTCTCAGATGAAATGATTCAACACTATATTCACTGAATATGTGTAACACATTTCGTAATAGTGTTCTATGCTATTATAAAATTTTACGCACACCTTATTGGTGTGTCAGATGTTATTATATCCTTGATATATGTTATCAGTACCTTAAATTTCAGTTTTTGTTGGTAATTTAGTTTTTAATTTTAATATAAAGATTAGACACTTTTTAATTATGTAAATTAACAACACTAAAGAATTATATATTTCATCTACTAGATATTTTTCGTCCTTGTCTTACTATATTTTCCGATATGTTTTAAAATTTGGAATATATCTTGTTATTCTTGATATGATATGAAAAATATAATTTTTTATTGGCAATATGGTTCAGTTTCCTTGCTAGAGGAAGACACGGAGAATTCGGAAGAAAGAAAAATAAGAAGGCTACTGAAAATGTTATCTTAGGAAGTCTTGCGAATCACAATTATGAACTTGCATGTCTGTGTCTATAGTTATACATGTGACTTTTATCACTCAGTCTTCATGGATAATCACATTATTCAGTTGTTAGTATCTGTTTCTTGAGAATTCTGATTTCCTAATTATTTCATTATTACCGTAGCTTTCTTTTTGTTCTATATATTTTACCATTGCTGACTCATCTCTTTACTGCAAACCTTAGATAAGGTTGGAGAGCAAAGGTGGGAGGCACTCATCAATTCTGTTCTGCACTAATGGGATTCTGTTGAGGGTACTGGTTTCTAAGGGCACTGGCAGGATGATGGTAGGAGCTTCCGGAAGATGGGCTGAAGATGATATTTCTGACATAACCCACATTATTGTGGTATGAATCTTATTGTAACATGACTATTAAATGTTTATTTTTCTTTTCTTTTACTCAATCCTGAAAACTTTGATGCCTTCTCTCTATGCTGTGTTCCTTACATTACTTTTTTTTTTTGTTTTTGATAAGTAAGATTTACATTGTTGTCTTGCATGTCTTCCTTTGAATTCATAATGAAAAGTACTAGGTAGGGCTGCAAACAAGACGAGCCGTTCCTGAACTACTCGGGCTCGGTTTATGTTCGTTTATTTACTAAACGAACCAAGCCCAAACACAAATATGTGGTTCGTTTATTAAATGAACCGAACACAAACACGGCTATGCTCGGCTCCTTTGTTCATGAACTGTTTGTGAACAAACTCATTTAATGGCTCGTATATATATATATATATATTTATTTATGTGTGTGTAAAATATGAAATAGATATAGGCTTCAACCCATTGAATAATTAATCATTTAAACTTATTTAAGTCCAGCCCAATCCAATTAGATTTTTTCTTTTTAAAAAACCCAATAAGTGAAAGCCCATACACATATCAAGCCCATCCTATAAGGGGATATGAATACAAATATCCAATGAAAGCCAATAAAACAATCAAACACAAACACAAGAGGGGGGGGGGGGGGGGGGGGGGGGGGGGGGGGGGGACAAACACAAGAGGGAGGGGGGGGGGGGGGTGGGGGTGGGGGGATATGAATACAAATATCCAATGAAAGCCAATAAAACAATCAAACACAAACACAAGATATACATGATTCACCCAAACTCATGATTACGTCGATGGATAAGAAGAGATTTCACTATGATTCGTAGAGATATTACAATAATAGAGTAACAATACCACGTACTTATCTTTTCACCATGTAACACTCCATGAGCCTATCTCCTTGCTGCAAGTGTCACCGGTGTTTTTCCTACTCTACTAACCTATAAATTGCCTCTACCCATCAACTCCCTCGTGAGACTACATCTCTCTCAATCTCATAAGTCTCAACCCATAACCTAGGTATCTATTTATAGAGTTCTAAACCCAATTCCCTGTTGGACAAGGATTGCAATTTCTTAAAGCTCACTTACTTGATAAGAAATTTCCTTACATAATATAACTCTAAAATAGAAATCTAATTAGAATAGGAATTTGAGACACAATTTCCAACAATCTCCACCTTGACTCAAATGCCATCTAGCCAATCATCGCTTTCCATGACCTTAATCAGGACAATTCTTTTGCAGCTTCAATTTTGACGATACTCCTGCAAAACACTAATTGTTCCCATTGTACGTTGCGCGATCAGTCAAACCTCCAAGGCTCCACCTTGACTACTTGAGACTCCACTTGCAACTGAAACTCGTTGTCGCACTCACTGATACTAGTGTTTTCTGGATTTCCTTCATCTTTGGCTCTGATTCCAATTTGTTGGGGCAACGGAAACGTATGAACACAAAAATCCAATAAAAACCAATAAATCAATCACACACAAATACAAGATATACATGGTTCACCTAAACTCAAGGCTACGTCCATGAATGAGGAGATTCCACTATGATTTGTAGAGATATTGCAACAATAGATTCCCAACACCACGTACATGTCTTTTCACCATATACCACTCCATGAGCCTATCTCCTCGCTGCTAGTGTCACCGGTGTTTTTCCTACTCTACCAACCTATTAACTACTACTACCTATCAACTCCCTTGTGAGACTACATCTCTCTCAATTTCATAAGTCTCAACCCATAAACTAACCAGAACTGTAGAATTGGTTCCATGTCCCAACCAACCGGTTCCGGTTCCGGTTCACATGTTTAGGGCACTTTTTACATGCTTGTATGTTTCTATGTCCTCCTACAATGTGTTGCTTAGCCCTATAAATACCTTCTTTCATAACTTTTTCACAAAAATTACACGTTGCATTCCTATCTTGTGGGTTTTGCAGGCGACAATAATTCCAAGTTGGATCCTTTGACATTTTTTTCTATCTATTTACAATGAGAAATAGAATGGAGTCAATGGACCAAGTTAAATTCAGCAAACAACATTCAGGCTATTCAACAAACAACATCAGAAAGATGCATTCAAAATTTAAATAATCTAGCAAAATCCAGCAAACAACATGCAGCAAAATTCAGCAAACTGCATTCAAAAGAAGAAAAAACAAAACACAACATCAACAAAAAAGAGACAGACAGAACTCAGAAGGAATGTTAACCATAAGACAACCTTCAAAGAAGAAGGGAGAAAAAAAAAATGAGAGATAGAGTTCAGAGGAAGAAAAAGTCGAGGGACATCAAACAGAGATTGAAAAAAAAAAAAAAAACAGAGATAAGAGCAAGTAGATGAAGAAAAGAAAGAAAGAGAAAGAAAAAACAGAGCCCTGAGCCCTCAAACAGAGATTGAAAAAAAATATTTGTTCATTGAGAGAAGTAGATGAAGAGAGAGAGACTCAGAGAGGAGTAGATGAAAAAAAAAAAAAAATTTAACAGAGCCCTTAGAAGAAGTAGATGAAGTCATGAAGAAAAGAAATAAAGAAAGAAACATTGTTCACGAGAAAAAAACAGAGATTGAAAAAAAATAATAAAAAAAAAATAAAACACTGTTCATGAGTAAAGGGAAAAAATGCAGAGAGACAGACGGGAGAGGAGTAGATGAAGAAAAAGAAAGAAGAAAAAAGAAAAAAAAAACAGAGACCCAGATAAAAAAAAAAAAGAAAAAAAAAACTAGATATATAGAAGAAGCAAATGAGGAGAGAGAGAAGAAGAGAAGAGAAGATGAGAATAGAAGAGGAGGAGGAGGAAAAAAAAACTGAACTGACTTGGTAGGTTGGTTCCTGGCTTCGTCTTCGTTGGAAGGAGGCTGTGGCTGCAAGCCTGCAACTGATAACCCTTTCTTCTCTTTCTCTCTCTCTCTCTCTCTTCTCGATGTTTCCCACTCCCTCATGTCTTTCTTTCTTCTGCAGCTTTTGCTTGATTGATTTGTTGACTATTGGGACCATTGGGTTGCCTCACAAGAAGACAAAATTACTATTTTTTGGTTTTAGTTTCCAAAAGCCTGTAAGTATATACTAATATATATACTATAAAACAAACACGTAAAATATATAAAAGGAAACAGCACCTCATAATACATGAAGCGCGCCTCATAAAATCCCCAAGGTGTAGACAAGGTGCGCCCATATTGGAGGTCACTGCGCTTGGGGGAACTACAGGTGTTGAAGGTGTGCCTCGCGTCTAGGTGCGCTTTTAATAACACTGGTCCAGATGATGAGCTGCCTCCCCACCCACCATGAACCCCTTTATAAAACCCAACTCCACCGCCCTCCTCGTCATCCTACTCAGGGCCTCCATAACAATAATAAATAGAAAAGGAGACAATGGATTCCCCCTGGCGCAAACCTCTCGAGCTACCAAAAAAACCAGCATTAACCATTACCGAAAATCTCGCTGAAGAAATACAAGCTTCAATCTAATGCCTCCATTTGCCCCCTAACCCCATTCTTTCCATCAAATACAGCAGGACCTTCCAACTCACATTATCATAGGCTTTCTCAACATCAAGTTTATAGAGAACCCCTGGGACACCGCTCCTCATCCTCGTGTCCACACATTCGCTAGCAATAAGAGTTGAGTCAAGAATCTGACGCCCACCAATAAAAGCATTCTTAGACTCCGAAATAATATCATCCAAAACATCCCTCAATCTAAAAGCTAGAACTTTAGCTATTAATTTGTAAATACACCCGAACAAGCTAATAGGTCTAAAGTCCTTCACATCCGAAGCGCCCCCCCCCACCCTCCTCTCTCTTTGGAATAAGTGCAATAAACGAGGCATTAGAGGAACTCTCAAACCTCCCCTGAGAATGAAAAGCATGAACCGTATCCATCACCTCTCCCCTGACCACACCCTAACTCTCCAAAAGAAAACTCATAGTAAAGCCATCCGGACCCGGAGCTTTATCCCCGTTACAACTCTTAAACACCTTTAGCACTTCCTCTTTAGAGAACGGAATCTCCATCCCATCTCTACTAAAGCTCCGAAATGGAATCAAATGGAAGCCCATCCAGCCGGGGTCTCCAAGCAGAAGGCTCCGTAAACAAACCTTGATAAAAAGAGAGAATCCCTCTGCAAACATCCTCCTCCCTGACCTGAACCTTCCCATCAATAGTAATCCTCCCAATGTGATTGCCTATCCTCTGAGCGCTAGCCACCCGATGGAAGAATTTAGTATTCTTGTCACCCTCTTTAAGCCATAAAGCTCTAGATTTCTGCCTCCAAGAAATTTCTTCCATCACTGCAATCTCCGCAAGCTCTGTCTGGCATGCATCCCTCTTACTTTTTTGACTCTCATCAATACTACCCATTCCTTCCCTCTCCGCAAAGGCCTATTCTTCCTCCACTCGAGATTCCCAAACCCCTCCTTATTCCACCTTTTGATCTCATTTTTCAGCCCCTTAAGCTTTTTCGCAAGAATAAAGCTCGGGTTACCCTTCACCCTAATCACCTCCCACCAAGCCCTCACACACCCCTAAAAATCCTTTGCCCGTAACCACATGTTCTCAAATCGAAAAGGAGTACCCCTCGTTCTCAATGCACCACAATCTAGAATCACAGGAATATGATCAAAAGTTGGTCTAGCCAAAGCTACCTGGATCACATCAGGAAACTTCTTCCTAATCTCCAGAAATAAGAAAACGATCCAATCGTGACAATGAGATTTCCTGGAGTAATCTATTCTTTCGCTATACAAGGTTACCAAACACTTCTTTGTTCCAAGTCTTAATATCACTCTTCAATGACCTTAATTGAAACTCGGACTGCCCCTAATCTCGTAGCCCGTCCACCAAATCCGAACCTTATCTTTGAAGTCATCAGCCCGGAGCCACATAATTTCAAACCAGAAAGGCGATCTCCCTCTCCTCACCTCTCCACAATAAAGAAGAATAGGAATATGGTCCGAAATAGCACGGGCCAAAGCCACCTGAGACACGTCAGGGAATCT